ACGCTAACTTCTTTATTTATTGCCAATAGTTTGTAAATCCCTAGATCCCTCTTGTGAATCACTTATTGCAAATTCTATTAGTTTAGTTGTTAATAGTTATGTTTAGATGTAAATTGGCTTATCTTTTGTGTAAATCACTACAAAAAAAATATGGGATTAATGACAGAATTTAGTGACGGAATTTTATTCCATCACTAATTCCTTGCAAATTTCGTCACTAAAATTAGCAATGAAAAATTTTAGCCGTTAAATTAGTGATATATTAGTGATGGAATTTTATTCCATTGTTAAACTAGAGACGAATTAGTGACACAATAAACAAATTCTGTTACAAATCTGCCACTAATTTTGTTTTAAATGATTAGTGATGGAAAAATTCTATTACTAACTCCCATCACAAAACATTTTATGACGGAAATCAGTGACAAAATTTTTCAATCACTAATTTTCGTCACAATTCCATCACTAATCAGTCGCAAAAAATAAAATATAAATATATAATAATTATTTCTTAAACTTAGAAATATAATATATCATAATTTTTAAATAATATATTATATAAAAATTAAAAAAATAAAAATATTATAAAATAAAATAAAAATATACAATATACAATATACTTATTATTTCGTTAAATATATGAATAAAAATATAAATTATTAGAAATTTTTTTACTAAAATATAAAAATTAAATTCAAATAACTAATAATATATCAAATTATATAATATATATTAAATTATGTATATAATATTTATTATATATATTTGTATTTGTTATTAGAAATATTATCTATATTTATTTTTGCATAAAAATCTCACTGGTGCTTCTTAGTTTAATTAGCAAAGGTTTCAGCAAGCGTGCAGGAGGTCTCAAGTTCACTCCTTCACAAAATTGAGCCAATTTGTGATGTCGTGATGATGTGGACAATTACAATGATAGACATGTGGCAACGACATGGATAAAGAGATGATGTGGCAACATAGGAGAGAGGGTTGGTGAGGTGGTAGCTATTGATGACATGGCGGCTCACAGTGATGGACACATGGCGATGATGTGGATGAGGAGATGACATGACAGCGTCGGAGAGAGAGAAGAATGTGAGGTGGCAGCCACAAACATGACATGTGACAGCAATCAATTATTGCCATTTGGTATTTTAAATTTACAAAATAAAAATAATTTAGTGACAGATTAGTGACAGAAATTTTAGTCACTAATTTTCATTATAAATCCGCCACTAATTAACGACAAAATTTTGAATTTCATCACTAAGTAGAATTAGTGATAGAAAAAATTCCGTAACTAACTAAATTCCGTCACTAATCCGTTGCTAATTTTGATTAGTGACGGAAATTCGATCACTAAATTCCTTCGCTAATTTGATTTTTTTTTTTGTAATGAATCATCTAATGTTTGTTGTAAATTTATGTGATCCGATTGTGAATGTGTTTAGTTTAGTTGTGAATATATTAATTTAGTTGTAAAGTCACTTATCTTTGTTGTAAATTTACTTAATCTAATTGTCAGCGTGCATTGATTGATGTCTTTGAATGGTTACTTCACAAGTTCCTAATTTTCACAATCACAACTAATAGTTTTATAAAATTGACATGTCAAAAATTTTCTATATACAAACTACTCCATGTCACCCAAATGAATAATAAAGTATTCCATATCAAAATGCCTGAATATAAATTTGTACACATTGTGAACTAGTTTAAACCACATTTTTAATTAAAATATATGAATTTATAAGTCATCGTTTTTTTTTTTTTTTACTTTGTCTTCATCTGTTCAAGTAGTTTTGCAATAGCATCTGACTTTAAATTACTTTTGTGAGTGCCAAGTCACCACAATAACTTTAACCTCAATAAAATCAGTTGTTCCTGTGACACAATAATAATTAGTGTGGTTACACATGTTAAAAACTCAAAATAATGTATAACCTCGTAAACATAAAATTGAACTCCAATTGTTGAATTTACTTGAAAAGCATCGCGTGTAAAATGGTGGCACATGTTTGGTCTCCTCTGAGTCCATCTTCATATGCCTTCACACAATAATTACTATGTTATTAATAACTATACTAAACAAGACATTAAAATTCATAGCATGCAACTTCATTTGTTACATAAATCCCAAACTTGCAAATTGTTGTTGTAAATTTCTTAACTTCACTTGTTACATGACCAGACATGAAATTTCTATAATCAACTTGTAAATATACTAATTTTTGTTGTAAATTACCTAACTTTAGTTGTTACACAAACAAACATTAAATTGCTACAATCAATTTGTAAATAGACTAATTGTTGTTGTAAAAAATATTTTTTTTGTTTCCAAATTGAATAATAATTTAAAATTTGATGAAAAAAATAAGTTTTTTTTGGGTTCAATATTTACGTAAAATAAAATGAAATGCATAGAAAATTAAAAGGATAAAAAATTTAACGGCAAAAGAATAAAACATGGACAGAATCCGACAAAATATGTAAACAAATATTGACTTTGGTCACCAAGGAGATCAAATTAATTTTATTTTTTACTTTATTAAAAAAATAACATACACCTAATGCATATTTATTATTAGATATCTGTTAAATATTAATGAAATGAGACTTAAAAACCACCTTATTAAAATGTAAAAAGAAGATTATGAATTCAAACGTTTTATAAAAAAATAATAAATGTTTGGCTTTTGAAAAAAAAAAAAAGAGAATGTGAATGTAAATGAGAACAAAATTGTGAATCAGTTGTAATATGAAGAAATAATATATTTCATATATCATGTATCATATATATATATATTAGTGATTGAGTTTAAAATATTTTAAAATACTTTTAATACATTGATTGTTTTGCTTCTATAAATCAATATGAAAAAGATAATAACACATGTTCTTCCGCCATTTTACTAGGAATAGTGCTATTTCATCAAAGTCATGAAAAAGTTGAGATTCAATGGAACTTTGTTGGAAGTAACAAAACTTTCTTTCTTTCTTTTTTTTTCCTTTAGGGTCATTTACTCATTTTGGTCTTCTAGCTTTACATTGTAATTTTAGTTTATCCTCATAGGAGTGCAGTGATATTTCAGACTTTTATGGGAGCATTTTGAAATTAAATCTCTTTAGAGGGTGTTAAATGAAATTCTCCCTATTAAAAAAATTCTTGTAAATAATTTTTTAAAATTAAAAAAAAAGCCAAAATTACGCAAAATCACTTGTAAGTTTATGGAGATTGACTTGTAAATATTAAAAAGGAAATCATTTTATAGATATTCAATGATTCTTGCACTCAATTTTTAATTTGGTAGCTACAGGATTTTTTTCTCTTAATTAAATTATTTAATTTTGCCCCATTAGCATGGTTACTTTAGTGTCAATACAGGGACTAATAATGCTAATTAACAAATCAAAATTAAAGGGCTGACAGTACTGACAGAGAAAAATTAAATAATTTATAAATATCAAGTTAAAAATTAAGTATAGGTATATATAAAATAATTTTTTGAATTGAAAAAAATTACAAAATAATTTTTTCATATTAAGATATTAAACTTTTGAGAGATTCACTTATAAATATTAAGGGTTTATTTGTAAATTTTTCTGGAATTGAATGAATTCTATATGGAAGTCTAATTGAATCATACCAAACAAGCAAAAGCAAGGATATCATTTCCGTCTTTTAAATTCCAGCGTGCTCAATGGGTCATTAAAAAAAAAAAGGAGTTGGATGATCTAATACGTTCACAAGGGGATTTCTAAATTTATGTATGTGATTTAAATTATGTTAGTTGTAGTCGTTTAATTTGTTTTAGTTAAATACCTGTTATGACAAGAAAAAATGATTTAGCTAAGGACGCCGGTGATGATTATTTAATTTGATTCGAGATAGTCAATTTTTTACTATAAGACCAAGAATATTAAGATTAAAGTTCTCCCCACAATTGCTCTTTTTAGGATTTAAGCTTATATTTATGGAATGAGATCACTCATCACCTTAAACAACAGTTTGTTGGTTGGAATGAGCTTATTGCATACGGCATATTAGTTGTTTATATGGCCGACATGAATCCGACCCCTTTCAATTCAAATATCTAAAAGAAAACTGTGGGACCACTGCGATAAGTCATGACAGTGCGGCTCATGTACATCATGAAGACTTAAACGAAAAATATGAGCTGAGAACAAAGCTCTAGTCAAGGCACCATTTCAATAATGACTCTGCGGAGCATTCACACTTTTCGCCTTCAGTTTTTCAACACAATCAATTTTCTATTTGAATATTTTTAATAATACAAAACCAAACCTTTAAGATATAATATAAACAAGGTTAATATATTATTCTATGCGTTGTATAAAGTCAAGATATTAGGCTGTGAAGTCATTGCAAATTAAACACGGCTCATAATTTGGATGCGTTGTAGTAGTAGGTCTACGACTATGTCTTTCAAAGACTGATATCGAAATATTTGTGTTATTACGTAGAAGATAAGTTGCACAAAATTTAATTTGCATATAGGGAAGTAAGTTATACATCGAGAAGATGGATTGCATGAAGGGGACTTAATTTGCCCATAGAGAAGGTGGATTGTACATAGGGAAGATGGATTTACACACAAGAGAAGATAGATTGCACAGAGTAAAATGGCCATTTCATATGGATGCTTATTTTCCCCCCAAAAAATCTCATGACTTCACCTTTAACTAGGATTCATGCCCCAGCTAAATTTTCAAATGGGGATTAATCCCCAATTTTCCCTTTTATTGTTTATTTAATTAGTATTATTTGTTTGTTTATTGTCAAGACATATCATACATCACTGTACATGTCTTGGTCTGCATGCGTCCCTTTCACTTCTTGTAAATCAACAAATGAAGTCAATGAAAATGGAAAAGCTTAGGCAAATTAAGAACAGACTAAAGCTCCTATAAATTAAAAGCAGCATACCATTTCAATATATGAATCCACAAAACCATTTTTGCACTTTAGCATGACCATGGCTTTTGCCCCCGCTTCATTTTCATTTCTTTCCAGCTACTACCTTCAACCATTAATCCTTTTCATCTTCTACATAAACTTGATTTGCTTCCAGCATGTCAGAGCTGCATCAAATGAGACTGATTATTTGGCATTGCTCAAGTTTAAAGAATCAATAACTGATGATCCTCATGATATCTTGAGCTCTTGGAATAGTTCGAACCACTTCTGCAGCTGGACTGGAATCACATGCGGCCATAAGCATCAGCGAGTCACCAAGTTGAATTTGGGAGGCTATCAATTTGGTGGGATCATATCACACCACATTGGTAATCTCTCTTTCTTGAGATATCTCTCCCTCACAAACAATAGTTTCCATAGAGAAATCCCATCAGAGTTGGGATGTTTGTTCAGGCTAAATACACTCATTCTCTATGACAATGCATTGACAGGAGAGATTCCTTGGAACTTGACGAGTTGCACTAAATTGAGGATCTTGGATTTGGCAGGGAATAGGCTTATTGGTAAAATACCATATCAGCTGGGGTATCTTCAGAAGCTTGAACACTTTCAACTTTCTCTCAACAATTTAACTGGAGAAATTCCATGGTCTATATGGAATCTTACTTCCCTCACTCGTCTTGCAGTAGGCTGCAACAACTTGGAAGCAAGTATACCTGAAGAGATCGGCCGTTTGAAGAATTTGATGTTTTTAGGAGCACCGAGGACTACATTCTCAGGTGCACTTCCTTCTGCACTTTTCAATCTATCATCTCTCACTATACTATCAGTAGCAGAAAATGATTTGAACATGACTCAGCTTCCACATGACATGTTCTCCACCCTTCCAAATCTAGAATATTTTTCCATAGGGGGGAATCAAATTTCTGGTCCAATACCAAATTCCATAAAAAATGCATCTTCACTCCAAAGATGCGATATTTCTTCAAACCATTTTTTCGGTCAAGTTCCCAATTTAGGAAACCTAAAAGATCTTTCCCGCCTTAATATACAAATTAATAATTTTGGGAGCAGCTCAAATGGTGACCTTGATTTCATGACACCTTTGAAAAATTGTAGCAAACTTCAAATATTAAGTTTGGGCATCAACAAATTTGGAGGCATTTTGCCCAATTCCATAGGAAATTTGTCAACCCAGCTCAGTGGACTATACCTTCGTGGTAATGAGATCTATGGTACTATTCCTGATACTTTAGGAAAGTACAAATATTTAACTGTCTTGGCTCTTGAATCCAACAGATTCTCAGGTGCTATTCCAATCTCTTTTGGAAACTTACGTGAGATAAAAGAATTAGGTCTCGATGGAAACCAACTCTCAGGAGAGATACCGGGTTCCTTAGGAAACCTTAGTGAATTGATTTTGCTAAGCATTTCAGGAAATATGCTTCAAGGAAAAGTTCCTATCACAATGGGAAACATGAAAAGTTTGCTCACCCTAGACCTTTCAGAAAACAATCTCAGTGGTCCTATACCCTTTGAGATTTTTGGTCTTCCCTCCTTATCCATTTTATTAAACTTATCTCACAATTCATTCAACGGATCTTTGCCTTCAGAGGTAGGAATGCTTAAAAACCTGGGGACTTTGGATATCTCTGAAAATAATCTTTCCGGAGAGATTCCTTGGACCATAGGAGAATGCACAAGTATGGAATACCTTAACTTAAAAGGGAATTCTTTCAATGGGCCCATGCCTCCTTCGCTAGCTTTGATGAAAGGTCTTGTGCATTTAGATATATCTCAAAACAACCTATCTGGATCAATACTAATCGACCTACAAAATGTTTCTTTTCTTCAGTACTTAAATATTTCTTTCAATACGTTTGATGGTGAGGTTCCAGTAGAAGGAGTTTTCAGCAATGCAAGTGCAATATCACTTATTGGAAATATCAATCTTTGTGGGGGAATTTATGAGTTGCACTTACCACCATGCCCTAAGAAAGTGGACACAAAAAGAAAACACAATTTGAAGCTCATGGCTATTGTGATTTGTGTGGCTTTTTCACTTTTATTGATATTTTTGTTTGCCTTCTATTGGAAGCATGAAAGAAACAAGAAATCATCTTCAACTTCATCAAGAGTAGAACAATTTCCCAAGGTGTCATATCAAAATCTACACATTGTAACCCAAGGTTTCTCTACCAACAACTTGATTGGATCTGGGAGTTCTGGCTCAGTATATAAAGGAAGGCTAGAATCAGAAGATAAAATTGTTGCAATAAAGGTACTGAACTTTCAAAAGAAGAGGGCTCAAAAGAGTTTCATTTCAGAATGTAATGCACTGAAAAACATGAGGCATCGAAATTTGGTAAAAATTTTAACATGTTGCTCTAGCATTGATTACAACGGACAAGAATTTAAGGCATTGGTGTTTGAGTATATGCCAAATGGAAGCCTTGAAAAATGGTTGCATCCTAATCAAGAAAGTGCATGTCAGTCAGCATTGGATATTTATCAAAGATTTAATGTTGTATATGATGTTGCCTCTGCACTGCATTACCTTCATTATGAAAATGAGGAACAAGTAGTCCATTGTGACATAAAGCCCAGCAATGTCCTTCTTGATGATGATATGGTGGCTCATGTGAGTGATTTTGGGTTAGCAAGACTACTTGCCACCCTTAAGGGCAGTTCTCAAAAGCAAACAAGCACGTCTGGAATAAAAGGGACGATCGGCTATGCTCCTCCAGGTAACATATTTTATTTTAGCTTGAAGTTCTTGAAAATTCCATTCCTTTTATGAATTTTTTTTTAATTTTGTTGATTTCAGCACAATGAATTTCTAAACACTAACCATATCCTAACACATTTCAGAGTATGGGATAACTTCTGAGGTATCAACACATGGTGATGTATATTCTTTTGGTATTCTTATTTTGGAAATGTTAACCGGAAAAAGACCAACAAACCTAATGTTTGAAGATGGCCACAATCTTCATAGCTATGTCAAAGCTGCATTTCCAGACAATCTTTTGGAAATTATGGACACAGCTCTTGTTCGCCAACAAGTACAACAGACAACAATAGTAGCTAGAGGAGAAATTAGGATGGAGGAAGTGGCTCTTATGCATCCCAACCATGAGAAGACTCTAATTTCACTATTTAAAATTGGACTTGCTTGTTCAGTAGAATCTCCTAAAGAAAGGATGGACACGATGAGTGTACTAAGGGAGCTAAATCAAATTAAAAATGCTCTTAGTCTTAGGGAAAAAAAGTCAAAATTGACCGTAATATCAAAGAATAAGCTTGAGACACCACTTTAGATATGTTATTATGATAAATTTGTGCCCTAAGAAAGTTCCTCACTTTTCATGAACTATATTTTGATCTCAAATCTTCTCTAAGACTCTTCTTTTGTGGACAAAGAAATGTCAGTGGCTGTGCCAGAATAAATTGTTACTTTGGTACTTGAATCATGTAGCTACTCCTCCAATGTCTAAATATCTATCCACATTGCTACAGGCTATAATGTAAATTTTAGTCTTACAATTGTCTTTATTGAGGCCCTAGCTTTACAAATTTGCAATTCGTATCAGTAAATAGATTGTAAATTTTTGCCCCTGGGTACAAATACGTCTAGCTTGGTATTTAAAAGGAAAAAAAAATGAAGAACAGACAAATTACATAATTTCATTGGTCTGAGAAATGAAGAGAAATGTAACTGCATATTGAAAAGCAAAGTCATGTCCATCAATGATAGTGATGATAGTACAGTTCTGAATAAAAATGAAGGAAAATATGAAAATAGAACCAGAGGCACAACAAAAGAAAAAATTGCTTTGTTTTCTTAAATTTCTGTGAAAGATATGCAATTCATCAACTATTTGTTAAACTGCTAAATCTCATATCCTTATAATATATATATATATATATATATATAGTTTTAGAAGGAAGGAATATTATTAGAGATTTCATGGGAGTTCAGGTACCATAAGGCATAAGGCAGACATCTGGCCTTCTTGGGAGAAACATATAATTATACTAATTTTTTCTTTAAAAAAATCAAGATTTCTTTTCAGGACAAGAAGTTATCACTGTTGCTGTATTTCTTAAAAAAACCTGTTTTAAAATTGTAACCATTAATAATCCTAAACAATTACTTTTAGCAGAAAATAATGTTAATTCTGATCCTTCTTAATAATTGTAATTTTTAAAGCTTCTTAGAATAGTTATTGGTACACCTTATGAGTTCTTAATGTGAGAACCTTCTTCATATCGGACCTTGTATTTTTGAAGCCTTTCTAGTCCTTCTTTAGAAGATCTCACATTTCTTCTCAAATTAATTAGATTTCCAAAATTTTGGTGCATCCTATTGATCATGAGTCCAAGTAATAGTTAATGTGAAAGTGCATGATAAAGTTGATCAAGCCCCCAAGACACGCATACATACAATGACAGATGCACTGTCTGTATGTAATTTAAAATAAAATCTATGAAATCCGATGTGATTTTTGCGTCCAACAAATGCGACATGAAGAAAAAAAATCTGAATTTTTTATTCACAAATATAAATGTGTGTGTGTGTGTGTGTAGTGCATTGATAGAGGGAGAAAACTATATATAATAAATGTAAATATGGGGCTTTTGACACTTCGACTACTATAAAAAGATAAACTTTCGTCCCTTATTTCAGTCTGTTTTTAAAAACACAGGGAAAAAGGCCATTATATTCATCTATTATGCTTTAACATACAAATATGTATATATATACTTGTTACTTAGTAATAGACGAAAAGCTTTTCCCCCCTAGTTTCAAACCTACAGTGCTATATTTGAGGAGACCAAAGCCCTATCAATCTCATTTTTCTTCTTCTCGTTCGCCACAGGAGCTTCATTCCTCTTCCCCTTCACCGCGTGAGCTTTTCTCCCCTCTTCTTCTCTTATCCTTCAACCGTGCAAACAATGTTTTCCTCCCTTTTCCTTCTTGGTCGGCGACAGCTCCTTCTCTCTTCTCCTTCTCGAAAACTCAACGTACAGCTCAACGATGTGGTGAGCTCCATAGTCAACCTCTCTTCTTGATGGCAAACTGATCCTCCTTTCTTCTCCTACTTGCTCAATGACGCTCTTTCTTTCTTCTTCATGGCTTAAGCTTTGCAAGACGCAAGGTAAGTTATTTGGTTTGGTGGTGCTAAATGTTTTAGTTGTTTGTGACTATTATATGGGTGTTGAAAGTGACTGTTGGGTTTATGGGTGTTGAAAGTTTTCTATTTACATTGATTGTTGGTGAATAATTGCTTTCGGGAAGCATTATTGATAGTGATTGGGCAAAGCATATGAAAATTAAAAGCATGTAAACTTGTTTAAATGTTAATGCACATATAAGGTGTTTGTGAAAATGTCTAGGAGAGAAATTTGATTGAAATATGATAGTTATTTAAGTATCTTCGATGTTTAATCTCCATGTTGAATTTTAGAAAGTTATGGATGTTATTTAAACATAAATATATATCCTCAATGTTTAATCGCGCCCTTCTTCATGTGGCTTCTATGTGTGCTTGAATATGGGTCAATTATTGAACTTTATGAATGTCAAAAGCCACGATTTTTCCCCCAGCAGCCTCTAGCTGATGCAGAAGGCGCTCAAAAGCTTACCATGGTGGAGCTTTTAAAATCTCATGGAGGCTTGTCTTTTGTAAGTTCACATTTCTCTTAAAAGAAGGAAACACGAAAACTTTTTTTCCCCTCGGTACTTATTGGTTTGCTTGTTAATACTTTTTGGTCTTGTCAAGTCATTATTTTTATCAGGGCCTATATTTTGCAGGGTGACATATGTTTCTACGTACTAGTCGATGAGCCTCACTAAAGGAGGTTAAGGTGGGCAATAAGCTGCAATTTGCTAATTCATTTATTTAATTTGCTTAATAATGTGTACCTTTTATTTTCAACCATTTACTTAGTAGCTTGATCTTTATGAATCTTCGCAAACTGAACCTTTTGCTAGTTGCTGGTTAGTTGCTTTTATGACTTTTGTGGATCTTTATTTCTAATCATTGATGATAGAATATCAAAATGGGAACAATTTTGAACAAAAGCCTGTTGCTCCTCCACTGCCTAACATTGTATAAGTGTTATGAAAACTTTGGTATGTTTTTATATTTTGTGGATTGCTAAAATTATTGGATTTCACCGTGTTGGATTAAATAATTTAACTTAGGATGTTTCTCTTTTATTTTTTTTTTGAGTAAAATACATTGACTACCGCTCTATTGTACTTAAATTACAGAAACTTTCCTTCTATTTTGAAAACATATATAAACTTCCCTTCAAATTAAAATATATGTTACACAAACCTTCTTTATATTTTTAAGATTCAATTTCTATCCATCCAACAGTTAGTTGACCGTTAAATTTGACTTTTAAATTTTTATTTTAACCAAAATATCCTTCTTTAACATAATGTTATTTAAACATTTATATTTATAAAAAATAATTTTTCATCCAACAAAAAATAATTGTAATACATGTATTCTCAAAAATTTTAATATGTAATAAAATTTTAATTTCAATTATATTATAGAATTATATAATTTTAGTTTCTCATGAAATATTAAAACTTAAGATTTTTTTTAAATGGCTAGAAAATATTTTGAATGCTTATTTTCTTATCACATAATATAAATTATGCGAGTTTGGAAAGTTATATAAATCATTTAAATTTATGTTTGTATTAACAAAATTACTTAATTTTTTGGCCCAATATAGTAAAAACATTAAACAAACAACAATTTTCAAAAATAAAAAAAATAAAATCAAGGTAAAAGAGAAAATCTTAAATTCTTCAGTATAGTTTTAACCAAGGTTTTGGGATTTAGTATCATGAAGGGTAATTTAGCAAATAGAAAGTGTTTCAATATAAATTTGAATTAAAAATTTTTTTTTTGAAATATTCTTAATGGAGTTAACAGTTTGGGTTTAAGTATATGTTTTCAAAATAGATGGAAGATCTGTGTAATTAAAATAAAATATAAGGGAGGTTATAGTATTTTACTCTCTCTTTTTTTACTTAATTAAGCTAATTAGGATGTTATAGTTGACATTAATTATTTTGACTCTTATGATTGTGGATTCTATTTGTATGGAATCATATACTGCAATCTATTTTGGTTCTGTTTCATATGCTTTCTACAATTGCATGTTGTAATAAAAATTGACAATACAAATAATTTCACATTTTCTTTAAAAAGATTATTTTTGTCTATTCTAGTATGAACAGATGAAATCGGCCCTTATATTCATCTATTCATTACAGAACAAACGAAAATAATGCACCTATGTTAGTCCATTCACACTAGGACAAAGGAGTATAGTCTGCTTTATTCATCTATTTTGGCCTGAACAGATATATATATATATATATATATGTATATATATGCACTATTTTCATTTGTTATGCCCTCAACATATGAATATAGTGACCATTTTTCTTCTGATGGAAACAGAAGAATAAATGCTACTATCTATGTCTTCTTTATCAATGTCTCCTTCTAAACAAACAAAAAAAAAGCCTCCGAAATAGATGAAAATGGACATTTGTCAATATTGTTTTCTCTTCAAATGAATTAATATAAAAGAACTTATTGGAAGTAATAGTTTACTTCCAGCTACACATATGTACCAATTCCTTGTAGAAGCAGATTGGAATTGGTGCTCAAATTTTGTGGGTTGGGGGGGGGGGAGAGAAAAACTCCCTCTATCACCGAGAACTCTAGAGTTATTAAGCACCTTAGGGTGCACATGGACAAGGTTGGACAAGGCTCCGACCCAATACCTAGCTCGAAATGTGAACGAGCTGTATTTTGCAGCCCATTGCCTGGCCCTACCTATAAAAGCCCTAACCATTTTAGATTGGGTATGGCGGGCTTTCTAAATATCTCCTTAAATCCTATGAGAAATAATCTTCATTTATACCTAAAACATATATTTCATAATTTCACATTTCCACACATTGAAATATTCTAGAATAAATCTTAACAAATATCTATATCTCAAGAATTAAACAACATCCACAATCAATTATTCAATTAAAACAAGGCAACTCTCATGATTGTAATTAAAGCCTTAAAATTCAAATAGTTTGCATCAATAACCTCCACCGTACACAAATTGAGAAAAGGATAAAACATCTAAAAAAGAAAAAAAAGAAAAAGAAAAAGAAAACACTTGGAGATATTCCATAAACTAATGGGGATGATGATGT